TGAAATTATGAAATAACTTAGCATTTCCTAGAAAGTGAGGAGTGTATAGAGGATGGAACACAGGTGAGCAGTATCAAGGCAGGAGATGAGGCTTGACCAGCTCAATAATCATAAATGTCAATGCACAAAAACATGGACTTGGCAGCAAAAGTAAAATAAGAGAATAGTAAAATTACAGCGACAATGACAACAGGTGGAACATGAAATGAAGAGAATGGAAGCAAGGAAACCAGGTGAGATGAATACAAGAGTATGTGTGAAAGATACAGCAACGGAAATAGAATAATTCAGACAAAATGGTTTAGGAAAAAGGGTCGCAGAACTTTGTGACAGACTATGTGGCAGATAAAGGACAGGAGGGTCCGAGGGTGACTGCCAGGTTTCTAGCTTGTGCAGCTAAGTAGGTGGAGCGAGTGCAGGATTAAAGGGGTGAAGATCATTTGCTTGCGGTGTCTCGAACCCGAGATGTCTGTGGGGCCTCCAGATGGAGCTTCCCACTACCAGGCATACACGTTTGGAGTTCGAGACTGACCTTGACTAGAAACAGACTTAGAAGTCATGCACATTTTGGTAACAGTCAAAATCATGGATGTGAAAGAGATTGTCCAGGGAAAGTGCACAAAGTGAAAAAAGGGGTGAGGGGACCCCGCAAATGATTTATTTAAAAGTGAAGAAGAAAGAATTAGTGAGGAGAGCCAAGAACCACCCGTTTTCTAGGCCCAGCCCAAGGCCCGATGAGCACCCTGCCTGGACAGAGACATGGAATCCTCTGACACAAGGTGGAGGATCAAATGGCCAAAGGAGAGCGGAGGAACAGGACTCCAGGGATGGAGCCCCTGGCCTGATCACCCCCTTATTTGTTGGGAAATTGGGGTATCAGGCCAGAGCACTGTCAAGGAATACATATGCTGTCCAGGAATACCTAGTGGTAAGTACAGCAGCTAAACACGTCTGTATGTCATTCCAGGAGTCAGCCCCCGGCTTGGGACACCTCACCCACGCCTTTCTGGAAGGTAAATAGATTTCCTGTCCAGAACAACTCAGTCCCACAGCCGCACAGACGGTCAGACCGGCAGTGATCCTGTCACTGGAAAACTCTCTTATTCAGCGACATTAAGACGAGACGGCCAGGATGGAGCCTCCACTCCCTCTCAGGGCCACCACCCCATGGCACCAGCAGACACGTACCTTAAACTTAGGGACCGGGAGGGAAAAATCTCTGTTTTTGGACCTGACATGGCAGCGGGGGTCTTGCAGGTCTTCGACTGGAATATACTTTGAGTCCTAGGAAGGAAAGCAGGAACAGAAAGACAGCTCAAGGTGAAACCACAAGGCTGAGCTCTAAGCCCGTTTGGAGACCCATATGCAAAGGAGCTGGGTTCTGGTGAACCACTTTTTCGGAGGCAGGCTCTGGACATGGGAGTGCTGGGCGAAGAGCAGCCCCCAGGAGAAGGGGCCTGGGGGCTCCCGGGGGCGGAAAGGCCTGGGCACTCACGTTGACACTGAAGTGGACTCCATCGTAGCGGTACACCTTCTGAGAAGGCCTGCGCAGGGCAGGGTCCAGGGCAGGATCCACGATGAGCTTGTAGTTGCGCCACTGGAAGCTCGGGGTCTTCTGCCCGTCTCCCCCACCTTCCTGATCCATCTTTGCTCATTTACACTGTGACGAGAGGAATCGCAAGGGGGTTCAGCTCGGGCGCCCGACTCCCTTGCTGCCCTCACCGCCTAGCCCCGACTCCAGGCTCGCTCATCACCCCGGGGTCCGCACCTCACCAGGACCCGTGGCTCCCCCGGATTTTCCAAGTACACTCTCCCACCGTAACCACACATTCTCTCCACCTCCCAACTCTTGCCCTCAGCCCACCAGGCCCATCTCGTGCCCCCAGCTCTACCCAGCGCGCGCCCCCCTTGCCCTCCGAGCAAGACCCCTCCCCCGCCCCCTGGCAGGCCCCGCCCCCTCCCGCCTCCTCACCGGCCAGCGGCCCGGGCCAAGCCCGGCTCCCGCTCCCACACACCCGCTCGGGTCCCCGCGCCCCGATCCTCTCGCCAAGAGGTGGCACCTATTCGGAGCGTTGGAAACACCGCGAGACCGAGCCCGAGACCCGGCTTCGGCCCCGAATCTGGGCGGGGGGGGGTAGGGGAACGCGCACCGCTGCCCTCTCCTCCCGCCCCGGTGCGTTCTGCCCCCCCCCCCATCCCCGCGCACGCGCGGCGCGGCCCCACTCACCCGCTCGTGTCGAGCGGCTCCCCCTCCCCCCACCCCGCGCGGCACCTTAGTGGCGCGAGGCGGCGGCGGCGGCGGCGGCAGCGCGAGACCCGGCCCCGCAGCGGTGGCGGCGGCGGCGCCCCCCCACCACCACCTCCCCGGCGCGCGCACCAAACACCACCGCCACCTGCGCGAGGCCCAGCAGGCACAGCGTCGACATTCGCACTTTCGCCACGGGCGCCACTGGGAGACCAACGGGGCCGAGGATAGCGGTTTCGCCTCGGCCGGCGCCCTAGGAGGCTTGAGAATTGCAGCCTAGGGGGCCTGGAGATTGGCCGCATCCCCCGGAGAGTGGGCTTCACCACGGCTGTCCAGCTGCTCTGGCCTGGGGCCGTTGACGAATCGGCGGCGACGAAAGCAGCGGCTAGTCCCCGAAGAAAAGGGGGCGGGGCGAAGGGGAGGCGGCCGGGCAGAGCTGGGGAGATTTGAGTGGCGCGTTGAACGGGCGCAGATTCGTCAGGCGGGCGGGGCGAATGGGTGGACGAGACGCGGGCTCCTCTGCTCCTCTTGCCTGCCCCTTCCTTGCGCGGCCAAACGTCCCAGAGGCTGCAGATTCGCCACAGGTTCTGGCCCCAGCTCTTGCCTCCCTTTACCCGCTTGGGTGAAGTCAAGAAAATAATGCCTGTTTAGGCAAGCCCTGTTGACAAGTCAGCCACTTTTCTGGATTTTCTTCCAATACAATTCGGGGGACTGCCCAACTCCGACCCGAGGAAAGTGGCTATGGCCCAAAGCCCCTCAGAGTCCGATGAGGATTTCCGGCTGAGCATCGGGGCCTGAGTAATCCCGGGGAGCCGGCCTCACGAATCTGCGAGCCTGTGGGCGGGGCCGCGGCGCCTGCGCAGAGGGCGTGGCCAGCGTGCGGCCCGGCGTCGCGGGGCTCTTCCTGGAGGACCCACCGAAACCGGCGGCCGGGCAGGGGCGCCCGTGAGATGGAAACGACAACCAAGAGCGGTGACTCAGGCTGCTGGCCTGGCGCCGCACATAATGCAGGGAGCGTTTTCCTTTCGCGATCCCCCTGGGGCCACTGGCTGCTTAAGATGCCCACTTGGCAGATGGGGCGACTGAGACCTGCAGAGGGCTCCGCCTTTTGCCTGCACTCGGCCACTACTAGTCTTAAAGTTGGATGATAAACGCGGTGGGGCTTGCAGACCCTCGAGTGGGTCCTGTAAAAAGTAAACTCGGTTTTACAGGAACTAGGTGAGCGGGGCGCATCGTGGTCCCAGTGCCCGCCGTTTTCAGTGGGATCGGGGTGAGGGTGTGGGGGGGAACTAGCCTTACGCGGTCTCGCCGCTCGAGGGCAGCACCGTTCCAGGCTTACGGTGGGACCCGGGGCCTGCGGTCGCGCGGGGCTGGGCACCCTTTATTTCTGTCTTGGACGCAGGGTATTCTGGTCTCCAGGTAATGGCATGCCCAGGAGGCCCCTCTGCTTGAGCTGAGGGTGCGCTAGGTCCCAGACATCTCTGTCTACATCTCTCGCTGCATTACTTTGGGCAAATCATTGACCTCTCAGAGCTTCAGATCCTTACTCAGAAATGGATATTGATGTCACGCAGGATTAATGTAGGCATTAAAAAAAAAAAAAAAGCAGCCCTAACCAGTTTGGCTCAGTGGATAGAGCGTCGGCCTGCGGACTCAAGGGTCCCAGGTTCGATTCTGGTCGGGGGCATGTGCCTTGGTTGTGGGCACATACCCAGTGGGGAGTGTGCAGGAGGCAGCTGATCGATGTTTCTGTCTCGTCGATGTTTCTAACTCTCTATCCCTCTCCCTTCCTCTCTGTAAAAAATCAATAAAATATATTTAAAAAAAAAAAAAAGCATAGGAAAGGCCCTGGAAGCCTTGTCCATGCACATTTATCATTTTAAGCAATAGGAAAAGAGAAAAGGGGGTACTTGTTCAAGATGTCACACCATAAGAATAGAAGAGATAGGACTGGGACCTTTTAAATTTTCGAGGAAAACGAGGCTGAACAAATGAATTCACATGGAAGCATGGGTGATGAGATCATACTGCTTTCTCGTCCAAGTTGAAAGGTATTGGCTCCTTTTCTCAAGTCAAACAGAAAGAGATTCCCCGTGTGATGGCAAAGGTAACCCAAGTTTTCACTGACGTGCAGTGTGGTTCTGGGCAAGATCCTCAGCCTCTTGGACCCCAGGTCCCTTACCTCTGAAATGGAAATAAGAAGGACTTGTCTCTTCAGGTGGTTATGAGGGTTAAATGAGATAACCTGTGAAAAGCCCCTACTATGTAATAGTCACACAAAGGAAAAAACTTAAGTCTTTCTAGACCAGCCACAGGCAAACTACGGCCCGCGGGCCGGATCCAGCCCGTTTGAAATGAATAAAAATAAAAAAATAAAAAAGACCGTACCCTTTTATGAAATGATGTTTACTTTGAATTTATATTAGTTCACACAAACACTCCATCCATGCTTTTGTTCCGGCCCTCCGGTCCAGTTTAAGAACCCATTGTGGCCCTCGAGTCAAAAAGTTTGCCCACCCCTGTTCTAGACTCTCAATGGAAGAGAGACCCTGGGCTCAGGAACAAGAGCGCAAAAGCCCTTTGCCTTGGAATGACTCAGGCTCTACATTCAGAAGCTACTGGCCAGAAGGGGGTCACACTTGGAACCTACTCTCCCACACCCTTGCCCAGCACCCAGTCTCTACTGGTCTCTTAGGAACAAGGCGCCCGATCCTAAGAAAGCCTCCCCTTCCCTCCATTCACAGCTACAGACACATCTGTGAAACACAATTTATTATACAAACAAGGTGCATCAAAAACTCAGTGTCAGAATAGCTCTGTATTCCAAGGGTTAGGGACTGGACCCCCCTTAAAACCTCCTCACCCCATCCCTTGCCAGGGAGTCAAGCTGGGAACACAGGCCCTCAGTCTCCAAAGACCCCCAAGACTGGCACAGAAGAGGGAGAGCAGATATAGAAGCATTAACTGTGGGTCTGGGGAGTTGGACAGGCACTTGAACCTCCAAAAATAGGGAGGCTCCTAGAACAGGCTGGACCTATGCCTGGGCAGAACACCCAATCCCTCTCTAGAACTAAAGCAAGAGTGTGAAACCCATCAAGACTGATAGGTGTGGCCAGAGTGGCTCAGCGGTTGAGCATCAACCTATGTACCAGGAGATCATGGGTGTGCAGGAGGCAGCCAATCAATGATCCTCTCTTATCATTGGTGTTTCTGTCTCCCTCTCCCTCTCCCTTCCTCTCTGAAATCAAAAGGAAGAGGGGAAAAAAGGAGCATGTACCGCTTGCAGGTTCATCCCCGACTAGTTGGGGCAAGTGTGGGAGGCAAGCAGTCAATGGGTCTGTCTCACATGGATGTCTCTCGCCCTCCCTCCCTTCCTTTCATTCTCTCTAAAAAGCAATGAAAAAATAGCCTCAGGTGAGGATTTTTAAAAATTAACAAATAAAAATAAGGGGAGGGTTGGCTGCCTTCTAGGGCAGTTGGATGGGCATGTAATCTGACCTCCACATCCTGTATAGGGGCGAGTGGCTAGGGGTCAGCACCACAGGTCTGACCAGGGTCTCCCTGCCTTTCTTCCACTTAGTGTATGAACCTTAGACTGAAGACCTTCCACTTTCTCCCTTGCTCCTCCCAGGCAGCCAGGGAGCAGTGGTCTAGACCAGGGGCCTTCGGCTGACCCCTGAAGAAGGCAGTGCTTGTAACTGGTGGCTAACACACCTGTCACACAGCCTGTAGCTCCCCCTGCAGGCGACTCAACTCCTCTAACTCCTGCTTGTGGCGGTCTGTTTTGTGTGCCACCAAGGAGCGGTAAAAATGCAGGGCAAAGGCCACAAACACCAGCCCCACAGGTACCATGATTGCCGTGGAGGCCATGGCTGCTTGCCATCCTGGTCCATGGACCCCACTACCACCACATGCTTGCTGGGGTGGGCAGGCCTCAGATGGCACAGCCTGTGGAGGGGCTACTGAAGCAGAGGGTGGATGAGAAGCTGGACGCAGGGAAGTGGCCATTGGTGGCAGAGTCCCAGGCACCTGGGAGGCAGGTACCACAGGTGCTGGCTTGCCCATGGGGGCCCCAATGGGCACAAACTTGACCCAGCCAACAAGGACAACTTCAGCGAGGAAGAGGAAGGTGCCTAAGGCAGTGGAGAAGCCCCAGGCCAGCTCCACGTAGCGGTGGAGTCGCTGGTGTGGAGACTGGTGGACAGAGTTGAGGTTGTGGATGTTGCTGACAGCTTCAATGTGGGGCAGCAGACACGTGGAGACCATGAGTGCAAAGAGGTGCACAGCCACTAGCACAGTGGTGCAGGCACTAAAGGCCACCAGTAGGCCTGGTGGGTATTCGTAGTTGTTCTCCAGTTGTACTTCCACCATGGCCACCTGTGGGGACAAGAGGGGATGGACTGAGTGCCTATAACTTCCTGAGCAGGAGCAAGGCTGTATCCTTAGGACCTAGAACAGTGCCTGGCAGAAAGACTCTCAGTCTTGCCCTGGCCAGGTAGCTCAGTTGGTTAGAGTGTCGTCCCATACACCAAAAGGTTGCAGGTTTGATTCCTGGTCAAGGCACATACCTATGTTTGGGTTTGATCCCTGGTTGGGGTGCATACGGGAGGCAACCAATAGCAATAGCAGTTTCTCACATTCTCTCTCTCTCTCTCTCTCCTCTCTCTCTCCCATCTTCCTCCCATCCAAGTACTAACCAGGCCCAACCTTGCTTAGTTTCCAAGATTAGATGAGATCGGACCCATTCTAGGTGGTATGGCCATAGACTTCTCTCTAAAAAGAAGGGTATTAGCAAAAAAAAAGACCCTCAGTCTTTGTCGAGTGCACGAATGGGCAGCCTTGGGAAGGCTCTGGCCTGTCTGGGCCTTAGTTCCCCCACCTAGCTATTAAAACAGCTGGATGACATTTTTCTGACAATCTTACCTTGTTATAAACATAGGGGTTAAAAAGCAGATTCTGGAGCTGGGCTGCCTGGGGTCATTCTCAGATCTACAAGCTGTGTAGTCTTGAGCAAGCGACTTAGTCTCTCTGTGCCTCAATTGCCTCATCTGGAAAATGGGGATTGATAATAGCACCTATCTGCTTTATAAAATTGTGAAAATTGAATTAATAGACATCAAATGATAAGAATAGTGCAAGGCACATAGTAAGCACTAAGTGTTTGCTGTTATTATTAGAGTTAACAATAAAGTCCAAGGCCAGTTTGCAAATTGGCGTACCATGAACCCAAGAATTAAGTTGCCAATTTTTAAAACTCAAGAGATTTTGCCCTGGCAGGATGCTCAGTGGTTAGAGAGACCCACAGGTCGCAGGTTCGATTCCCAATTCTTGGTCAAGGGCCAAGGGCACATACCTCAGTTGCAGGTTGCATCCCCTGGGTTCGGAAAGGGACCTCCTCCAGGAGGGAGGCAATCAATCCATGTGTCTCTCTCATGCCAGTATTTCTTTCTCTCCCTCTCTCTCTCTCATCCCTCCCTTCCACTCTCTCTAAAAATCAATGGGAAAAAAAATCCTCCGGTGAGGATAAAAAAATAAATAAAACCCAAGATAGTTCATAGAAATATCCCAATTTCCAGATCCTCTTAAAAATTTGGAGGATCTGGTTACAGCCGGTCCGCATTCTTCCATGACAACTATCAGCTAGAACTGAGTCGTGGCTGCCGCCTTTGAACAGGGCAGGGTCTCTTTATAGCCACAGTCCCTACAAAACCAGTTTGGCTTCCATATTACCTGCCTGGATCCTGTTCAAGGTTTGTATAAATTTAGCCTCTAGAACTAGACTGCCAAAGTTCAAATCTCGCCACTTGCTTGCTGTGGGGCTCTGGCAGGTGCTATAACATCTCTGGTCCTGTTTTCTCATCTGCAAAATCACCATTAATAGTGGTGCCTATTTCGTAGGATAGTAGATAACACACATAAAAGCCCTAAGCACAGTGCCTGGTACTTAATGACAGTTTAATACTATTTGTCTGTTATTTTCATTCACCCAGGCCACCTGAATTCCAGAATCTGGATCTTTTCCCGATAATTCTTGCAGGACCCATTAGCTTGCTCTGGGGCTGAGGGAAGGAGGAAGGTGAAGAGCCTGGAGAGTGGTGATAGAAAGACAAGGATGAGTGTTTTGGGAAACTGGGCCATGAAGGGCATTAGCAGGTGTCTCCCACAGACGGGCACCTGGGCCAGGCCTCCTCCTGCTTTCTCCCATAGCCTGACCCAGGCTTGTTTTCTCCCGGCACGACCGGAGCCAGTCCTGCCCCCACAACCTACTCATCTGGCCTCTGGATCCTGCAGAGAAGATCCTGGCCTTTAAGCGGTCACCCCAGCAACATGCAAGTCCCGCAGCAGGCCAGACTGAACCATGGGGTGGATGGGGGTGGGGACCTCCCTTAGATGGGTCCATGAGACTGCCTCTCTTCCTCTCCAGACGGCACAGAGGAAGGAGAGCCAACTCCCTGTCCCTAGATGACTCCATGTTAGGAAGGGGAGACTGGCCTGTGGATCCTGGGCCCCCACATAAAAAAAAAAAAAAATCATAGACCTAGAATGAGCCTTGGGGATAGAGACTTTCCCTCTGATCATTTTAAATACAGAGGCTGTGGCACCGAGAAGGGTAGGGACTAACCCAAATCACCTAGTGCTCTGACCCTTCTATCCTCATCTCAATTTGCCCCCCAAAACAGGTTCCTGTAAGGATGCCCCCCCCCACACACACACACCTCTCTCCTGCCAGCCAATTAACAGGTAGTCTGAGCCATCTTTGATGTGTATCTTGCTCTAACATGCTTAGATCTAGGGTTTGAGGACAAGAATCAGCTCATCCTAGGACAGGCACTTGGCAGACTACAGAGGGCACACCCTCCACCATCTCCCAGTTTCCCACTGACCTGCAAAGTGGGGGAGACCTGCCCAGGGTCTCCGGCGACGGCCACGAGCAGGAACGAGCTGACTCCTCACCCAGGGACCTCCCTCAGTCCCACTTCCCAAGGCCTCCTCTGGGACCGTTAGCTGACATCATCTTCCCACACCACCAGTTTATCAGCTCGGGAATCATGTAATCAGTTTCCTAATCAGCTTCTTCCCCCACAGACTTCCTCACAGGCATCCTCTCCTCCCAAAGCTTCCTGGGCTACACTCAGCACCCTTTGTACCTGCTGGGTAGATGCCTTCCTTGGGATGGGCCGCACTTTCAGTTGGGTGACCACCCCATGTTTATTTTCTCTAACCCCACCCCCAGCGGTTGATACAGTCCCTCCCCAGCTCTGATTTGCCTTTGAACCTCTCATGGCCGGGGTGGGAGTGGTGTCTAGTAACCACTCTGCCTGGACCAGGCTTTTGGACCTTTGTCCCACCCGTGCACATGCAGCCCCCTTGGTGGGTTATCTATCCCCACGACGTGATCTGTATCCTCCATGACATTTTTAGCACTTGTTTATCCTCCCTGTGGCCCAGTGTGTGCCAGGGGTCTGTTCACACACCCCCTCCCCCAATTAAAAAGGGATTTGTCATCCCTTGGGAACTTGTTCGTTCCCCCCTTAAAACCCAGTCATTCCCTTTCCTTTGCCCAGCCTCCCTTGGGTACCCGTTTACTTTGCCTATGGCCCCCTTCCTCACCCCCACCCTGTGCGCCCCACCCCTCCCCTCACCATGGCGAAGCCCGAGAGCAGGGCAGACGTGCGGCTGGAGGCTTTGAGCTTGGCCCGGCTGAGGTAGAGGCGGCGCCAGCTGAGCGCCCGCAGCGAGTGCTGACTGGCCCCCATGAGGTCCAAGTAGCCGCGGTGCACGAACTCCCGGTACGTGGCGGAGCCCGTGGGGCACTCGGCCTCCGGGTTCAGCGGGGCCTGTTCGCCCGCGTCCCCCTGGCCGCCCTTCATCCTGGGGGGCCGCAGCACCAGGGGGCCTGGGCAGTCAGGGCGGGGTCGAGTAGCCTCGGGGCGTCCAGGAGGGTCGGTCCAAGTCGGGAGGAGACCCCATCCCCCTGCGGGGCGAGCCGCGATGTGGGCGGCAGGTGCCCAGGAAGAGGCAGTCGGGACTGAGCAGAACGAGTAGGCGTCTGCCGGGAGCCCCAGGGGCCGAAGCGGGACAGCAGAGGCCGAAACAGGAACTGGGGCAGAGGCGGAGCCGGGGTGGCCACATGATGGGGTGGAGCCCGGGGGCGTCCGCGGAGATCTCAAGGGACCCCTGTGACACGAGTCCAGCTAGAATGTCATGCAGGCGCCCGAGCTCCACCGAGGTTACCAGCCCCGCCTGCGCCTGGGAGCTCCCGAACCCTGGGCCACGCCAAGTACATCGGGACGTCCCCAAAGCTCCGGTCCTCCACCTCAGCGGTAAACTCGGGAAAGGGGAGCCCATCTGCTGGAGGGGGCCTTGTGAACTCAGTTCCGGGAGCCAGGGAGGTCCAAGGCTCCCAGGTGCACCCCAACAGCCCTGCCTCCGAGAGCCCCCAAGGGTAAGCACTCAGGTCCTCCCTGCCCTACCCCCCTCTCCCGACGTCGCAGACACAGGAACTCACACCCCAGCTGGAAGATTTTGAGTTTTATAGCAAACCATATAGTACAGACCCGGGGCCCAGCCCCGGCTGGGTCCCCCACGTGCCCCCCGCCGGGCTGCCTCTTTCCCCTCCCCCAAGCGGCCCCAACCTCAAGCCTGCGCGACCCCCAGGACCCCCTCCCGTCGACCTCTGATCCGCCCAGTCCCTCCCCCCACCCGCGCACCTCCCTGTTACCTGAGGTATGTGGATAAATTCCCCCCTCCCCTACATGGTACAACCCAGCTACCCCGAGGCCTGGGCTGAGGGGCGGGCCCTGGCTCCCCTAACCCCGCCCCCACACTGGAGGAAGGGGCAGGGGTGGGCCAAGACTGTTACTAAGTTCCCACGGCAACCAAGAGGGGCCATTACCAGCCTTAGCCCTGGCTTTGGGACGTGTCCATTGGCTGCTATTTCCATGGCAACCAGGAGTGGCAGTTCCCTGGGCAAATGGGATACAAGTTTCCATGACGATGAGTGGGAAGAGCCAAACTGAAGGAGTCTCATCTTCCCCATCGCTGGGATGGCACCCCACTCCACTGCAGGTCAGGAGGGGTGAACTGCTCAATACAGTAAAGCAAGAAAGAGCCTGGTGGTGGCGCAGCGCCCACCGGTCCAGTCTCAGTCCAAGCGGTCCGGCCCTCACACTCCAGCTCCCCCGAGTCCGAGATTCCCCAGGTTCAAGTAACACTTCAGTACAGATGAATGTTCAAGTATTGAACGGGGAGGCAGGTAGGGGGCTGGGGTACCCCTCACCACTCCCCTGGGCCACGCTGAACAGCAGATAGGCCAGCTGGCCCCCACTCCTCGCAATAGCTGCCATTGTCAGTGACTTTCAAGGAGTCAGGGTTGGGGGAAGGAACTGAAACTGGGGAGTAAGAGGAGGAGTAACCCCCTGAGGGAGTGCTACTGCCCCCACACCTGCTCTCGCCCCTCACCCCTTCCTTAGCCCTGGCTTTCCCTGGTTCCCCGAGTATCCCCACCTCTGACACCTGGACTCCCAATTGCTCCTCTGGTTTCCCTTTTTGCCCCTCCACCCCCCAACTCCAAGTATCTGGTCTGTTCCCTGCACCCTTGGTGGTCTGCTTTCTGCCCCCCTCCCCCAGCCCATCCTCCACCTCCCCCAGCCCCTGGCTCCCAGTATCCTGTATGCAGATGTGTTTCCCCCATTCTCCCTCCCTCAAACTTGCACCTGACCCCCCCGCCCACCATCCCTTTGGCTCAGCAACCCCAGTACCTCTGACCCACTCCCCCCAGGGGATGGACAATGAAGCAGGTGGAAGGGGGAGGGGATGGGAAAGAGACCCCCAGAAATATCAGTGCAGGGGGCAGAGTGGGGAGGCTGGCTCAAGTCCCTGGGCAGGAATCCCAAGTCGGAAAACTCAGGAATCCCAAGTCATGAGGTGGGTAACCTGGCCTCCTGGCAGGAGTGAAATGAAGGCCGGAGGTCCAGGCTCCTGAAGAGTTGGGGGCAGGGGGAGGCACCCAACTAGCTGTCCTTGAGAAGCAACTTCTCCTCTGGGCAGCGGAAGGGGCCAGGGGGCCCGGCAGCTGCCAGCCGGGCACAAGCTTCAGGTGAGAGCTGGCGGCAGGAGCGCAGGTCTAGGCGGCGTAGGCGAGGGCAGCGGCGGAACAGCGGAAGGCAATGGTCAGTGAGGCGGTGGCAACCTGGGGATAGGGTAATGGTAGCCAACACCAGGAGAGTGAGTAGGGTGGGGGCACTGGTCATGGGAATCAACAGGCTAGCAGGATGGACAGACAGGGGACCATGCTTACCAGCAAGATTGAGGTGTACCAGGGTCTCTCGAAGTGGGGAGGTGGGGGAAGTGAGGAGATGAACACTGGGGTCCCCGACATGGGCGCAGTGGCTGAGGTCCAGGGCGCTCAGCTGGGGCGCGTGGCGCAGCAGGAGTCGCAGGGAGGCATCTGTCAGCTCTAGGCCTGCCAAGCGCAGCTCTGCTACCCCCTGCAGCCGCCCACGGCTCTCCGTTTGCCCTGGGCAGGCAGATCAAAGGTCAGCACACCCCTCTGCTTCCATTCCTGCACCTAGGCCCCCAGACCAGCTATGTTTACATACCCATATTCCTCACCACCCCCTAAATCTGCTGCCACTATGTGAGCCTCGGCTGGTGCTCTCTGCGTGGCTTACTCTTGTCCTCATCTCATCTGTTCATTGCTCACACTGCCTCCTCAGTGAGGCCTGCCATGATTACTCCACTTGAAACTGTAATATTCCACAATATTATTTTTCCCTGCTTTCCCACCATCTGGCATATATTTTTTCCCTCTCTCCTTCCACTCGTGTCAGTTCCATGAAGGCAAGAATTTTTGTCTTGTTCTTGCTTTAACCCCAACAACTGGGACATAGGTGCTCAATATATAGTCACTCATCTAACAAACGACATCCCTACCAGGACTGCCATTGTAGGCTGCTCTCCCACTTTCCTCTCCTCCCACGATTAGTAAAGTCACCAACTGGATCCCTTTCTCTCCATTCCCCCTGTCACCACTCTGAGTCAACACCACTCTTGCCTCACCTCCTGCCCCAGCCTCCTCACTCACTCTAGTCTCGCCTCTTCTTTCCGGAATCCACAGAGAGCCATTCTCAAATACAGGTGGGCCAACATCCCTTCTGTGCTAAAAACTCTGAGAGCACCTCAAAGAAGTTCAATCTCCTTGGTGGAACACTGCAGCTCCTACAAGGTCTTATCACTTTCTCAGCTCTTCACTGCTCTCCCTCACCCCCAAACACTTGGACCCAATTCCACAGTGACCCTGCCCTGAGACTCTCCTGTGGCCACCTGTGCTCAGTCCTCTGCTGGCCAGTGTCACTGGCTTTCAGGTCTGAACTCAGCCTTTCCCTTTATCTCCGGGGTACATGAGCTTACACTGCTCAACTCTGCACCCAAAGCGCATGGTCTGCTTCCCTTTTATTCAATTCACCATATTCCTGGCATTACAGTTTCTGTGTTTTTTAAAAAACTAAACGCCTATGGTGCACCAGCAGCCACTAATTGAGCACTCACTGTGCACCAGACACAGGCTAAATGGCTGCCTGCCTGCCCCTAGGCCAGTGGCTCTCAAACGATGTCCCTTGGAAGGCTGGTTAAAATGGATTGCTGGCCCTGCCCCCAGAGTTTAGGTGCTCTAAGCTGGGGCCTCAGAGTTTATTTTTCTAGCAAGTGATGTTGAAGCTGCTGGTTTGGAGACCATGCTTTAAGAAGCACAGCCTTGGGAGATAAGCTCTCTGATAATCATTCCTGTTTACTGATGAGAACATGGAGGCTCAAACCATTAAGCAATCTGTCCAAAGTCACATGACTATGAAGTAACAAAGCTAGGACAGCAGGCCTGGTGGCTCCAAGTCCAAACACCTACCACCATGCTATATGCCTCCCGGGCACCAGCCTGGCCTTAGATAAACTGGATCAGATGCCACAGACTCATGAACCCAGCCTACGCGAGTGTTTTATGGAATCTGCAAATGCTAAAAATTTTCTAAGTGACTAAGCCTACCAAAAGGACATTTAAAAAATACATATTTTTTTCTTGTTGATTTGAGAGGAAGTGAGAGGGAGAGATAGAAACATCAATGAGAATCACTGATGGGCTGCATGCCCTCCCCGCCACCACCAGCACCACTGGGGATTGAGCCTGAAACCCGGGCATGTGCCAACTGGGAATGAAACCATGACCTCCTGGTTTACAGGTCAATGCTCAGCCACTAAGCCACATGGGCCGGGCCTACATGACATTTATAATTATTTTTAAATGTTTTTTTGTTTTTTTATTGATTTCAGAGAGGGAGAGGGAGAGAAACATCAATGATGAGAATCATTGATTGGCTGCCTCCTGCACACCACCTACTGGAGATCGAACCCACAACCCGGGCACGTGCCCTTATCAGAACTGAACCCAGGACCCTTCAGTCCACAGGCCGATGCTCTATCCACTGAGCCAAACCAGCCAGGGCAAAGGACATTTTTATAAAGAAACTAGAGGCCCAGTGCATGAATTTGTGCACAGGTGGGGTCCAGCTGGCCCCCCATGGGGTCCCAATCGGGCCAGGCTGGCAGGGAGGGGGGATATGAAGGGTGGGGAAGAGGACACGGGAGGTTGGCAGGCCTGCCCCGCCTGTGATGGGGGTAAGGGGGCAATCAGGGGCGGGGCTGGCTGGGCCGAGGAAGGTTGGCTGGTTGGCTGGCTGGCCACCCTGTCCCTGATGGGGTGGGTGCAGGGCTGGGGGTGGGCGGGGCCAGTGGGGTGGGAGGGCCTTCCCCCCTCCTCCCCATTGGGCTGGTTGGCTGGCTGCAGTGCCAGTATTTCTGGTCGCTTGGCTTTAATATATATAGATTTAGATATTGAGCTTTTCCTTGAAAATTGTAAGATCTGACATCACTGGGCTACCCTTTCACCTGACAATTGGCTGGGAATGGGTTGCTAGAGGCTACTGCCTAATGTCCTGCACCAATCTCATCACTTGCTGCCTCTGTGAGTACCTGACTTGGCAAGCTCTGAATTCTAGCCGTTCCTTTTTTTCATTTGAGGAGCTGAGAGCTTAGAGAGGGAATACATTACAGATGCCATCAACCTTGGGCCGCAGCTTAAGCCGTTAGAGGAAAGCAGAGGAGAGGGGCCCTGGCTTGGACAGGGAAAAGGGGGCATCAGTGCGGGTCTCGCTGAGGCGGCGGCATTTGAGCTGGGCCTTCAAGGACGAACCCGTGGAGAGGTGGGAGACGAGCACGCCAGGCAGAAAACAGCAGGGGCAAAAGCAAGAAGTAGAACTTTAGGTTTTGCTCCAGGAATGCTGTACAAACCAGGCAGCCAAGATCAGAAAAGTAGGTGTAGAGTTCCAACATGCACAATAGGCCTCGAGGGCCCAGAAGGCTCATCTTTGCAAACTCCTGATAAAGGCGCTTAAACTGAAATGAATTCAGGCAGAAGGAGATGGGATCAGTCTGCCAGCCAACCAGCACTTCCTCGCCTCATGGAATGCACTGCTCCCAATGCCCACCCTTACATGAGCCCACATCTTCCCGGCTCAGTCCAGTTCCAGTCAGAGTGGGCAATGGGTGAATGCTCTGGTCTGGCTTTGCCTGTGTGACTTGCAGCACTCAACCTCTCTGGACCTCTGGTACCTCATCCAGAAAATGCAAAGAATCCTAGTTGCTTCTCTACCTCTTTTCCAAGGCTGCTGTGAAGGGGTGCAGTGGAGGAGGGTGGGAAGAAGGGAGCCATGAAAGAGCTGTGAAAGCTAGTCCTTGCCCTCACAGAGCTTAAGAACCTAGTGAGAGGAAAGATTTTAATCAAATCATTTCTATACTGGGAAGGAACTCTCTCAAAGTTGAAGAGGGACCTGAGTTCAATGGGGAAGAGAATCATGGAGGGCTTCTAGGAAGAAGTGGCATTTACCTTGCAGCCTGAAAGGTGATTAGGTGTTAATTAGATGAAGGAAGATAAGAGCATTCTAGGCAAAGAAGAGTAGGCAAAGGCCCTGGGGCTGGAGGGAACTTGGCAAGGAGATTGAGGTGGTTAAAATGCAGGAACCTCATGGGTGAGCAGGAACCAGACTATGGCAGGCCTTAGTGAATACAGTAAAACACTGATCTTTATCCAAAGAACACCAGGAAGCAACAAAAAAAGAGTTTACAGCACAGGAGTGAAATGGATACATTTGTCTTTCTGGATGGTTCCCCTGACTTTGGAGTGAAGAACAGACTGGTGCAGACCAGAGAGGATGCTACTGTAAGCATCCTATTTCTTGGCTAGACAAGGAGGCCCCAGACCTCAGGACCTCACACCTCGTATGACCCCCAAGGTGACCAGACCTCTGCTCACCTGACCAGCCTCAGCTCCCAGCATCCCCCTCAGTCAATATAGGCCTCCTGCCCCACAAAACTACTTATTCTGCCTCAAACTCCCTGGAAAAACCCTGTCACTTTCAGGACTCAGTTTAGCTCCTTTAAGGAGGGCTTCTTGCATTGCTCCTTTGCCCCCACCACAGCCCTTAGCCTACCACATCATGCTATATAACCTTCTATTTCTGAGCCTCCCTCTCTCTGCATGACTGGGGTTCCACCAGGGTGGGGAATGAGGCTGATTCAGGCTGAGGTCTCCAGGGTCCTATACAGGCCCAGGCCCAGGCCCAAAATGTGTTCAACAATAAACCTGACTTTACTTGGCAGGGTACCTGGGCCTGACCCCAGTGAAGAGGTGGCTGGTCTGACTGGGGAGATGATACTACCACTCCACGCAAACTTCCAAGTCAATCGGCTCCCTCTTTCTGCTCTTTTCCCTTAGGAAAATCCGTATCTTTTGACTGTAGGGCAAGGGAGTCTAGGGACTAAATCTACTGCTCAGCCATATTTTTACTGGATCCACACGTGAATTTTAAAAGAATCTGAATTAATTTCCATCATTTAAAAACCAGGATATGCTACAGAAAATATATATTCCTGGCTCCTCTTGACAAACAGAACTGACTGGCCACAGAGGTGACATCCTTCCACAGCAATAGCCACGGCTCCCTTTGGAGAAGGCTGTCCCGTGGAGCCCACCGTACCCAGGGGCTTCACTTAGACCCCCTGGCTTTTCCCAGAATCCAGTGTCATCCTCCTGTCCTCTATTGTGCTTCATCCCATAATTATCTCCCCCCCGAGGCCAGGGACTACATCCTCTTCATCCTGTTCCCTCCACGCCTATCACAGGGCCAGCACACAGTAGGTGAGTGAATGAACAATGGCCGAGCAGGGCCTTCCTTTTCAAACTCAAGTATTCTATCCTTTCTTCAAACCCTTTAACACCTCGCATGGGCCTCAGAACCCCACCTTGCCCAACCCGTTCTACAAACGAGCCAACGGAGGCTGCACCTGGTTTGGTGTCTGGCGGAGGCAGCAGCAGCTCTCGGAGCTGGGAGTCTTTAACATCCTCAATCCAGCGCAGGTCCAGGAGCCGCAGGGCTGGCAGTGGGGCTGAGCCCAGGGCAGAGACAGAGAGCCAGGAGCAGCCAGACAGCACCAGTTCCTGCAGGCCTGGGGGAAGTTAGGAAGCTGGTGCTGGGAGGGCTCTGTGCCAGGCTTACCCAAGTCATTCTATCCAACCTCACCACCTTGCCGTACCTTGCAGTCGGTTCAGAAGCCACATGAGTTGCTTCTTGGAGACACCTGTCCAGCTGAGGTCCAGGGCTCGGGGCTGGCGACGAACCACACCACTAAGCATGGGGGGAGTGAGTGACTTCCGCCGGCTCAGGTCCATTCGAGGCCACAGACGCTTGTCATAGCACCTGGCAGCCACAAGAGGGTAGACAGCCCTCAGCTCTCAGGGAGCCCGCAGCCCTCCCCACTCAATGGCACACCCGTTTTCTCCTGATCCACACAGAGGGTGGGTGGGAGGAGGGGGCTGCTGGAAGCTCCGGGACCCAGGCCAAGAGGACTGAGTTTGGGTCTCAAACCCATTACTAAACTAGATGCAAGTTTCGTTAAAACCTATTTTAGTTAAGAAGTTTTCAAACAGTCTTCCTCCTGGGAAACTCCAATTCTCCTTGCGCCTCAGGGGCCTAGTTTAGAAAATGAAGATAATGGTCCTTACTGGCCTGCCCCTCAGGGCTGCTGTAAGAGCAAATGAGGTCATTCTGGTTTTCTTACCTTACAGCTTTAAGACACAAACATCCTAGATACTGTAGTTTCTGTAACACCAAAGGGAGCTTCAGCACTCCCAGCCCCCACCTGGGACTGCTCACCAAGTTATGTTGTTGGCTTGTGGTCACTTCTCCTCTACCAATTTTTTTTTTTTTTTTTTTTTTTTTTACCACCACTAACCCTGGAGTTCTTCAATTAGATGCCACTATAGTTCATGATAAAGTATATTTTTGAAGATTTACTCTGGATCATTCCTATCCTTTAATACAATATAATGTGCTGACTTTATGAATACATTTAAAAGGATAAACAGTCCTTTCAATGCCAATTTCTGCTCTTGATCCACACCTGCCCACCCTGATGGCCAGCTGCCTCAGGCGTGACTTACAGCCCTGGTTGCTCTTTAGTTGACTATTGAGTCCCATGAACTACAATGTGGGCTCCACAGGGCACATCTGGCCTTTTCCCTTTGGCTTCCCCAGTACCCAGCTCTGTGCCACGGGCACGGCAGGTTATCTGTTGCGCATTTGTTGTAACGAATGGGGCCAAGCTTCCATGAGCACTGCTCACACACACTGCAGTTACAGCTCTTCATGTATTCACCCGGTCAATGTTTATGGAAGACCTGGCAGGTCCCAGGTATTGAAGCTACAAAGATGAATGAGGTCTGAACAAAGGTAAAGCAGGTTTCCTGATCCCAGCATTTCTGACAGCCTTGACATGCCCTTTGGGAAAGGGCTTTCCAAACTTATTTCATCAGGGAACCCTTCCCCAGCAAAGGTTATCTATTAATACTTTGCGGTGCACTAAGAGTTCCTTGAGACTCCCTTTGAAAAGTCTTTTTTTCTTAAATATATTTTTATTGATTTCAGAGAGGAAGGGAGAGAGAGATAGAAACATCAATGAAGAGAATTATTAATCGGTTGCCTCCTGCACACCCCCTAATGGGGATCAAGCCTGTAATCCAGGCATGTGCCCTTGACCAGGATCGAACCTGGGACCCTTTAGTCTGCAGGCCAATGCTCTATCCACTGCACCAAACTGGCTAGGGCTGAAAACCCTTCTTAATGCAGTTCTTGAGGGCATGTCAGGAATTTCCCACTGGGTTAGATGGACTGTGTCAGAAGCAGCAGGGGTGGAGAGGGCTCAGGAAGATGTATCTCTCCCTGTCCCCCAATTCTGAAGGGCTTTTTCTCCAACCCCAGTCATTTGCTATTCACTTATCTGCAGAACATGAATTTATCTTTAAATTGATCCCCTCTATGCACGTGAAACCAGCACTGTTTCACATAAATGTGTTAACCATAGAAATAAATATAATAAACACAGACCAGGGTTATTAAATTGTAGCCAGTTGTCGATGTAGCTTTGGGCTACCACCTAAAGAGTATAAGAAAGGTATTAAAGATGCAACAGCACACAATGGAGAGACCTCTTTTTCAAAATTAATAAAAGAATTAAGCCTCTTTGTGCTACTTAAAACTGCCAGGCATACCTCAGAGCCCCTGGGTGACATTTTAGGGAAGTCTGGAGGCCCAGACCTTAAGGCTTCAATCCCAACAACTCCACCTCCCTGCCCTATCACCTCCTACCACTCCTCCCTCTTCTGGCATTCCAGCCTCTCCCGCTCCTGGTTCCATCCACCACTCAACCACTACCATTTGCAAATCTCTCCAATTCTAAAAAGGAAAAGAACAAAACAAAAACCCCACCCTCAACACAACTTCTGTCCTTAGGTCCTGCCCTTTCTCTCTACTCAGCAAAATCTCATTCCATCCAAACCTCTCTCTCCCCACTCTGACCCAATCGAGAGTCACAGCTCAACTGCGACCCTCACCTTGAAGCTCCTCCTGGATCTTCCATGGCTAGAAAGGAACCCCTTCCCCCTGGAGGTACACAGTTGTTCTGTATCGTACTCCACAAGAGCCAGGCCCAACCACAGCCTACAGACACACAAGGCTGTCCGGTGCCATCACATTTTGGCACATACGTTGTGCTGGAAATGCCAACCAATCCAGATCCTTAAAGGCTCAGCGCCAGTGCCTCCTCTTCCAGGAAGTCTCCCCTAACATTGCTGGTCCTGGAGCTAATGGATCCCTTTGCTCTTGCATGACCAGGAAACTGGATTTGAACCTCAGAGCAGCAGCCAACAGTCACTGAGGGCCCTACTGATACTTAGTGTCCAGCCTCCACTGGGCACAAAGCAGTCAGGAAGTGGGGGAGACACAGCCAGTCCACAGAAACTGAAGCAACAAAGAACATGATAAGAGTCAATGAGAAGGCTGAGACAGGGAGCCGCCCAGGGAGACAATGCCTGATGAGATTTGAAGGACAGCAGTCACTACTCCAGGGAGGAGTGGGTAGGAAGCCAGTGTACATCCCAGACGGGGAAGAACTAGTACCCAGGTCCAGGATACAGAGAGAACAGAGAGCTCCGAGAAGTCAGGCAGCATGAACAAAGGACAATTCATCATCTCCTAATAATAAGAATGATGATGATGATGACGACTATAGCACTAATAACTACTATTTATCAAGGGCTTACTATGTGCCAGGTACTGTTGTATGTATTAAACATTTAACCTCACAATAGCCCTAGCAGGTAAATACCATTATCTCCTTTTTAGAGTAAAGAGAACTGAGGCTCAGAGAGGTTAAGAAACTTGTTCAAGGTATCACAGCTACTAAATGGTAGCAGAGCCAGGGTCTGGATCGGGATCCTGAACTCTGGTGAGTAGGGAAGAGGCAGAGGTTGAGGCTACAGAGGAGGCCTAGGGTAGGGGTGACATGTCAAGAGGGACTAGAATGGCCCTGGCCACCAAAGGGTTGAGGGTTTGGGCCCCGGTTAGGGCACATGTGGGAGGCAGCCAATCAATGTTCTCTCTCTCTCTCTCTCTCTCTCTCTCTCTCTCTCTCTCTCTCTCTCTCTCTCTCCTCTTCCTCTATCTTTAAAATCAATTTAAAAAATACCTTTGGGTGAGGATATAAATAAGTACATAAATAAATAGAATAAAAAACCCATTTTTTTTAAAAAAGAAGGACTAGAATGCCAAGCTGAATTGCTGTGGCCACAGAGCTCAGAGGTGAAGGGCATGGGTGCTAACTCCTAGCTCTGCCACCTCTGTGCGACCTTAGACAAGTCACTTGCCCTCTCTGGGCCATTCTCCAAACTATAAAAGGAATTAAATGCAACACTTAATTCAAAGGTTTGCTGCAAAGACAAAGAGAGAGAGTACAGGGGAAGTGTTTACTGCAGCCACTGGGGCACTGTTCGTGTCCAATCGGACTGTGGGAGCTCGTTGTGAGGGCAACAGGGAGCCATGCATGGGTGCTTTCTAAGCTGGGGAATGACACTAAGGCAAAAAGCAGGAAGAACTCCTCAGGGATAAAGCATGCCATCACCTGGGGGGTCAGGGCTTCATGTCAAGTTCTCTAAACCATTCACTTTACCCTTAACTCCAGCTACCCCCTGAGTCATCCCCTACTAAGCCCACCTCAAAAATCCTAAAATGCAATCCTAAACCTCCCTCTTGCAGAGGCCCTTTTGGGACACAGAGATGGAGCAGCCCAAACGGCCACCTGTAAGGCGCTCAACAGCCTCCTGGTCTCTAGTCAAAGCCAGTTCTTCCCTCTCAGCTCGTGGTTCCCTGATGCTTCCATTGTCCTCCAATCTGCCATCTCTAAGCCTCTACTTCCAACCCCAGCTGGCCTTGACCCTGTGTTCCAGTCCCTTCCTTGCCACTCTCTCTGCCCATGTTCTCCAAAGTCCCACCCCTCTTCCCTGCAACTCAACAACTTCGACACTTCTGCCTGCCTTCTCTCCCCTCCTTTTTTAAAAATTTATTTGAGAGATCCATTTATTGTTGCACTTATTTATGCATCCATTGGCTGCTTCCTGTATGTGCCCTGGTCAGGGATCGAACCCCAAACCTTGGCTTATCAGGACAACTCTAACCAACCGAGCCACCCTGCCAGGGCTTACCCTCAGTCTTGACAGGTCACTTCACCTCCCAGTTCCAAGAAAAGATAGAAGTCACCAGAGAGGAAAGCCTGCAACTTCCTGCTCCCCACCTACAAATTTCTCTCCCCACCTCTTTCTACACTCCATCCTGATTTTCTCACTGTCTTTCATTCATTCAACAAATATTTCCTTAGTACCGACTGTATGCCAGGTACCATTCTAGAAACCAGGTACAGTCCAAGCCATCAAGTCCTGTCCTAGAAGCTGATGTCCTTGACCCTGTGTGACCTGGCTTCGTCTCCCCATCCCCATGTAGCGCAGCCAAGGACACCAAGGCCTCCTTGTAGCAAAACGCAACCGCCACTCTGGTCCTTGATCTCCTTTTGCCAACATGCAACACTGTTCAGCACTCACTCCTTCCTCCGTCTCCCTCCCTCAGAGCACAGCTCCGCCCTTGATTCCCTCCAAGTCTCTGGCTGCTCTTTCTCTAACTCACAAATCCTGACATTCTGTCCTCTGCCTTCTTCCCGGAAGCTGATATCTATAGATTAAAACTGCCAAACTTGGATCTTTCTCTTGGTAAATCACTTCACCTTCTAGTTCTAAGAGAAGACAGAAGCCACCAGACAGGACAACCTGCAACTGCCTGCTCTCCTGCTGTTTGTTCACTGCTGTGTCTCTAGTTTCTAAACTTGGACCTTTCTCTTGAGCCTCAGACTTGTACATCCAGCTGTTTCCCTGCTAGCTCCGACTGGCCCACAAACCTTCCAGACCACACGTGTCAAATCTGTGTGCTTCCCTTTCCCCTACAACTTGCTTCTCTTCCTTTGGTATTCCCCAACGTGACGACCGGCACTGCTGTCCAGCCAGGCTTGTGGCCCAGAAACTCACTCGAGTCACCCTGCAGCCCCATAGCCACTTAGTCACCAAATCCAAGCTCTTCTGTTTTTGTTTTTGTTTTTTAAATATATCTTTATTGATTTCAGAGAGGAAGGGAGAGGGGAGAGAGATAGAAATATCAATGATGAGAGAGAATCACTGATTGGCTGCCTCCTGCCCGTCCCCTACTGGGGATCGAACCTGCAATACCCATGGCCGGAATCGAACCTGGGACCCTTCAGTTCACAGGCCCACGCTCTATCCACTGAGCCAGACCAGCCAGGGCTCTTCTGCTTCTTAAAAAAGTTCTCAACCTGAGTCACTTCTCTCCATTCCCTGCCCCTGCTTCTGCCCACAGGCCTTATAGAGCCTTCTGAGTGTTCCCATTGTGCCCCACGGGTCCCTGCTCTGCCCTACCCTCTGCCTCTTATGGAAAACCACCATTTTACTGAGTATTTAGTACCCTCCAGGAACGATGCTAAGTACTTTGCAAGAACCATCTCATTTAATCCCTACAAAGTATTAATTTGAACTCCAGATAGTGGATGAGAACACCGAGGCCTTGATAGGTAGAACTGTCCAACCACAGCCATACCTGCAGGAAGTGCCGGAGTCACAGCTGATGAAACACATAAGGACCAAACTCCAGGGCCCAAGCTGGAAACCACCGTGAGTCCAGCCTCTCTCTACCTCTGGTCACACGTATCTCCTTGAGGCCGAGATCAAGACCTCTTCAGGTCTGGATCCCTTGTACCAAGCACAGAGCTGGCCCTGATGAAGAGGCCTCAGCCAACACTTCCTCAACTATCACATGAGGCCGGCGTGGTCATCTCCAGCAACCGCTCTCACTATTTGCTTCTATGCTGCAGGCTGACGTGGAGCTATGTTCTGAGGATGTGAAAGTCTGTGCTTTCAGTAATTACTTGTAGCTGAGTGAATAGTAATGATTATGGTTAAGGCATCAAGTAGTTTCTTTTTCCCAGGTACTGCCCTCAGCTACAAAACACCATGAGGTATACAGACAATGCAGTATAGAATCTTACTAATCAATGTCAACACAATAAGTTAAAAACACCACACCAACAACTCTGACGTAAACGTTCTGGTCCTGGGTTAACAGGTGAAGAAGAGGAGGCCAGAAGCAGCTAAGAAATTGGCCCAACGGCAGACGGTCCTGAGAGGAAGAGTCAGGCTGAACCACAGGCACTGACCTCCAGACGCCAGCAGGCATGAACTGGCACCCAGAATCCACAGGAAAAGCATCAGAGTTCGAGCTCAGCCACTAACTTGCACTGTGACTTCAGGAGTCCCTCCTTCCCTCCCAGGGCTGCTATCATGAGGAAAATCAGCCAACATTTGCAAAGTGGCCAACAGGGTGTCTAATCCACTGTAAGTGCTTGAGAGAGAGCCTGGATTTTCTCATGTAATAAAATATTTCTTGAGCATCTATACTGCCCTTTGTCTCGTGCTGGGAACACGAAGATAAAACAGACACAGTATCTGCACCACCCCAGAAACTGATTAGAACATGAAAATGAACAAATGAATGAAGGCTCATCCCCTCCATGAGCTGTGAGGGGAACAGAGTGTTCCGAGAGTTTGACTGGGGGAGGAAGGCCAGGGGTTTGGAAGCTGAGGGAGATTTCTGAGTAAACAAGGTTCAGGAAGCAGTGGGGAGATGGGGGAGGACAGGCAGAGGGAGCTGGTGGTGGCTCTGGGGCATGAAGGCGTTACTCGAGGTCAGGAGGCCCAAGTATGGCTGCCTGTGAGAGGGCAGGGGCCGGCGCAGCCAGGAGGGTTCTCATGTGTAAATGGAGCAGGTACGATTGTCCTCGGAAGAGGAAGTGTGAAAAGCAAATGCGATGATGCATACACAGCAGTCAGCACTGTGCTTGGCACATACTAAACACTCAAAAATGATATTGTTAAGAGGAAAGATTCGGGAACCCAGCAGAGGGGCTGGGTTCAAATTCCTGGTTCTATTGCTTCCTGTCCACATGATCTTGACCTCAGCTTCATCTGTAAAGGGGAGTAATAGTACCTACCTCACAAAGTCGTTATGAGGATTAAATGAGCTCAAAATAGAAAGCAGCCCATGCACAGTAAATGCAGAAGTATCGTGCTGTCGTGTGCAGACACTACAGAAGTAGCAGTGACCAGGGAGGAAGGATAAGGAACAGGTGACAAGCCACCCAGAAAGTGAGGAGGGTGTCAGCAATAGAGCCTAGGCCTGTGCAGGCCACTCACCAGCGGCTCCAAGTCCGGCAGACTCGCATGCAAATGCACAGCTCTCGGGGCCCAAGGTGCTGGAAGACACGAAGCCAGGCAGCACGGGGCAGAGGGTGGTCGGATCCAGCAGCCAAAGGCAGTGTGTCGGGCTCAGGACTTCGAGGTGGGGGCCGTACCACATGACGCTCCAGCTGTGGGGGCCGGGGTGGTGGGGCAGGGCCCAAAGGCCAACTGAGGAGGGGCCCCCCACTGCCAGGGCGTACGGCCCGTCGCCCCCCGCGGTTCTCCTTCTCGCCTGAGCTGCCCCTGGCTGGCCGTCGCCCGTTTCGGGCCTCGCCAGGGGCCTCATCCTCACTCAGGGATGTGCCTGATGAGTCGGAGTCTGAGTCTGAGTCCGAGGAGGACGAGGAGGTGTCAGGCACCCGCTCTAGCAGCTGGCACATCCGCTTGAAACGCTCTAACTTCTCCCTCTGTGGTGACGGGGATGGCACCGCTGGGCCCTCGGCAGAGGCCAAAGGTGGCTTTGGTTTCTGCAGAAAGATAGGAGACGGCTCTAGGGTCCGACACACACTCTCCCACCCCCTGCCCTCGAGGAGCCACCAGGGGATGAACAGTCCAAGGGATAGTCCTGATCCAGCCCTGGCTCTGAGCGATGTGAGGCCTTAGCTAAGCCAGGCCTGAACCTCACATTCCTTATGTCACATGAAGGCACTGATTGAAAGAATTAAACACCTTACGGGTTCCAGTAGCTCATGAATTTCCACAAGCAGCGTGCTATGAAAACACAGTCCAGATTTGAGTATTGGCTTGGCCATCAACTTGGGAAGCCCCTATCTCACCATCTACAACATGGGGCGTTGGACTAGACAATTCCAAGTGTCCATTCAGGGATGTGAGAATAACAAAGATCACCTGGCCCCAGGCAGAGCATCCCCCTCGCTGACCCGGCACATCCTCACAGCGCTTGAATGGAGTGGCAACCTGGGTCACTCTTTTTAGACATGAGGCAAATAGGCTCAGAGAGATTAAGCGCCAAAGTGACAAATGGCAGGGGCAGGATTTGAATGCAATCAGGCAGGTTTAGTGTGTCCATGCAAAGTGACATCTGATTCCGAGCTTTGCTGTATGACCTTAGACCAGTCTTTTAACCTCTCTGGACCTCATTTTCCTCGAATCTAGGTAAGTTTTATAATTTACAAAGTCCATTTACTTTCAGTAGATTTAAATAATGCGATAGGCAGATAAGGAAGGTAGATTTCCCAAATGAGAAAACTGAGGCTCAGGGCAGCTGACAAATTGCCAAGACCACACAAGGAGTCAGCAGGCAGAGATTTGGACTCAGTTCTTTCCCCTTTAAGGTTTAGAAAGATGGTGCAAAACCGTCAGATAATACCCTGAGGGTTCTTGGAAAGTCAGGGGCTCCTGAGGCCCCGGCCCCAACCCACTCTCCCCCTCCACTCTTCCAGGGTCCAGATGCCCATCGTGGCCAAGTGGGGCAGGGGTAGGACAAGGTGAGCAGGAAAGCACAGATCTGTCTCCAGGGTGGAGGGTGGGGCAAGGAAAGACGGGAGAGGGAGGGAGGAGGTCCCCGGCACACCTCCCAGTGTTCGGGAGGGAGCCCAGGGTGGCAAGACGAGAAAGCTTGGCTTGGATTCAGAACCCTGGGGGGCAGAAGGCCTGGGCCGCCTGGGTCCGATCCTCGGAGGAGGCAGGCGTCTCCACCCACCTTCTTCAGGTGCCTCTCACGGCCTCCTTTCACCTACCAGGGAAAGAGGGAGACATAGGGAAAGGAAGAGACCCTTAGTCCCTCATTGTCCACAAACCTAAGATCCATGGCCTCCTCTTGGACTACAATTCCCAGAAGCCCCCACCTCAAGGAGAACTCTGAGCATGCTCACCTTCTAACCAATGTCTTGGCTCAGTGAGTATGCTCTCATCTCTCCTTTCTTCCCCCTCAGGCCCTTTCTAGCCCCTCCTTCTTCCTCTGTAGCAGCTTTGAGAATGCTCTTTCCCTAATCCCTAAAGTACCCAGGGCTCCCAAAGCTTCACTGCCCAGTGCCAGCTGCCCCTCTCACCTGTACCTCTTCTCTACACTGAGTGTGCCCCATCCTCCCCCAGCACCTCCTGAATTACATCTCCCAACAATCCCTGAGGGAACCCACAGAGGGCCCACCCTCCCCAAAAAGGAACAGGACTACCACTCCCAGATTCCCTGGGGCTGAATGTAGTGAGCATGCTCCCTGGCTCACCTTTTTCTTTGGGGTTGGGGGCTCATTCCCTGACTCCCTCTCCTTTCTTTTGGGGGGCCCAGGCACGTCCTCTGGGGGGGGCCCAGCAGGCAGGGGGCCCTTGCGCCTGGGTGGAGGTGGTGGAAGTGGCGGCTCCTCCGTCAGCTTCCATCCACTCCCCAGGCTGGCACCCTCCTCTCCGTTGTCAGTCCTTCGGCGGCCTGGTCCCTCACCTGAATCCTGAGGAGATGGATGCTGGGGGTGAGATTCTGCACAGCGCCCCAGCCCACTGGGAGCCCAGCACCCAAGCCCAGTCCTGCCCCTACCTTGCTGGTCCGGCCTTCCTGGGTACAGCGAGGGCACTCCCAGCAGTTAGGAATTTCCGCATTGATGACACCCTCAGCCTTCCCCATCTGTGGGCAGAGGCAGGGAATGGATAGGGTATCCGTGAAGTCAGAGGCAGTGTTCCCAGCCTCCTTGCTCCCTGACAATTTGCCCATCCCAGGCTCCAGGTTCCCCGGGGCCATCACCTTCAGGCAGCCAGGGTGGACGATCTCGTTGCAGATTGTACACTCCATGAGGCTCAAACCAAATTTTTCTTCCTCTCCCTCCACTGTGTCCTCCTTCCCAGCCTCCCCACACAAGAGGCACACGGCTGTGTGTGGGAGCACGGGCTGTTGGGGAAGAGGGGGCATCAGGGACCCGAAAGCAAGCAACAGGGGGAAAGACCCTTCTTTCTGGGAACCTTGCCGGCTGCTGGAGGAGGTTTAGAACCTAAGGCCAAGCTGGATCAGATCTTGAATTATTTCTTCTTTTTTGGCAGTATGACCTTGAGCAACTGATTTAATCTCATTCCTGTTTCTCCATTTGTAAAATGGGGCTAGGAATTTTTCCTGTGCAGAACTCTTTAAGGATGAGATAATGCAAGATGGGCATTTGTTACATAGTTTGTTCTCACTGTTGTGAATGTTCAGCTAGATCCAGGGCCTGTATGACCCTGGAACTGTTGCTGGCTTTGTGAGGAAGGGAGACCAGAAGCAAACATGACACTAATACTCAGCGAGGGCTGGAGGGGAGGCGACAGCAGCCTGGGCTGATTCTGAGTGTGCTCAGTGGGCAGCCTAAGCGTTGCTCTGGAGCTCACCATGAACCGGGTTTGGGCAAGACTCCTAGGAACACTACAGGCTGGTCTTAAGGAAAAGGGAGCAGCCTTCAGATAACATGACTTTGGGGAGGACAGTGGTAATACTGAGTCCTATCAGGGAAAAAGGTGGTGAAATAGGCTCAGGGAAGAAGCAGGTAGGGGGAAGAAGGAACAGGAAAGCGGGCACGGGCTGGGGGACAAAGAAGAGAGGGGCTGTGGGTGAAGAGACCAAGCAGTAAGAGTCGCTGGAGGGGAAAAAGGAAGTGATGGTGTGGGGAGGGGGCACAGGATGCTCCTGGAGGCTCATGGCTGCAGGGGAAGGGCCGCTCTCCGCAGCCCTGGAAGCTCAAAGGATGCGGACGGCTGAGAAGAAACCTATGCTCCTCAGAAACCTACTGTGCGCTGGGCCTTGTAGCAGGCGCTTGCGTGTCTGTGCTGTTGTTTATAACTCAGCAAAAGAAACATTTTGCAGAGACAGTACCTTCAAGATTCAGTGATTTGCTCAAGGTCACACAAAGGGTAAGCTCAGCCTCAAATCCAAGGCCACTCTGGCAGGTGAGGAAGAGGCCAAAGAAGGCAAAGTAAGACCTATTCACAGGGGCTCAAGAGGTATTCACAGATGCCTCTAGGTCAGTGGTTCTCAACCTTCCTAATGCCGCGACCCTTTAATACAGTTCCTCATGTGGTGGTGACCCCCAACTTCATTGTTACAAATTGAACATAATCAAAGCATAGTGATTAATCACAAAAACAATATGTAATTATACATGTGTTTTCCGATGGTTTTAGGCGACCCCTGTGAAAGGGGCGTTCGACCCCCAAAGGGGTCGCAACCCACTGGTTGAGAACCGCTGCTCTAAGGAGTGGGATGCGAGGGGCCAGGCTTTCTGTGGGTCTGTGCCTCTGAAAGTCGGGGAACGTATGACGGTAGAGACTGGGTTAGAGTCCTCTGTGCCCTAACATCGCCCTCAGCTTGAAGCTGAGGGGGGGGGTGGGGAAATGGGCCCGATGGACATCTGAACAAACCAGTGAACGGATGAGTGAACTAACCAACCCTACAGTAAACCCTAGGAAGGAGCTACCAGCCACCCCAGAAAGGCACTTAGGCCAGCTGGGGACGGGGGCCCAGAGCTCCAAGGGGGTGGGGGGCAGAACTCACGGCAGTGCACTGCCGGAGCAGGCACGACTGCTTCATACGCCCGGGCCCCCCGAACTTCTTCATGTCTCGGCAGAAGTGGCAGTCCCCGCACTCAGTTCGCACACAGGCCCGGCAGCGGCGGCAGCGGGTTCGGCGTCGGCGCGCTCCGGCCCCCGGCCCCCGGCTGCTCGACGACATTGGGGGCGTCAGCAACGCCGAGGGCTGTGGGTGAATGGCGACAGGGTCAGGTGGGCCCACTGGAGCCCTGAAACTCCCTCCATTTCTAGGCAGAACTCACCCTCCTACCCAGGGAGCCAGGGAACATGGAGGTCACCCCTCCTGCAGGGCGTAGGGACCCCTCTCTGCAGCCTAGCTCTCCCCAGCAGCCACCTGGCTCCTCTGGAGCCCAGCCCTGGCTCCTCTAATGCTTCCTCAGGCCTCCCTGACGGGCCCAAGGAGGATGAAGGGAAGCGGCCTCTCCACTGACACCCCCACTTCCAAGCTCCGTGGGAAGCAGGGCTCCTTGTCTGTGGCGTCCCATTAGGGGGCCCCAGCTTCTCCCGCCCCCCACAGGCGCTGCACCCATGCTCTCCCAACCTAAATCCTCCCGATTTTCCGCCAAGACACCCAGGCTCCTAGGTGGGAGCGCCAGACCTCCCCCCCCCCCCTTCACAGTGCCACCCAATTTCTCCTCCCCCAACCAGACCCAGTGGGATCCTTGCCCCCCCCCCCCCCCCATCCCTGAAGACCCACTCTGCTGCCCAACTTCCAGGGCTGAGACCCTCCTTCCCCCAAGACCTCCACTCCTTAGCTCCCCCGAGCCCTCTGCTGGGAGACGCCTCCTTTCGTATTTATTTCTCAGGTCAACCTGGGCAACTCCCAGATCCCCTGGGACCCTAGGACCCAGCCTGACACCTCTACACACACAGGGTGGGCTCCTCCGTGCGTCCCCAACCCGCTTCCCGGCTGCTTCCCCCTAATTGTCTGGAGTCCCTTGGGCTGTCCTTCCCATGGAAACCGAATCCTCCCAGCTAGATCCCCGCAGGCCCGGAGGGTCTCTTCACCCCGTCTTACCCCGGCTTCCCCTTCCAGGGACTTGCAGACCCATCTATGGGGGTGGGGAAGGGGCCCTCCAGCGCTCGGGGGAGGGGCCTAGAGGGCGGCAACTGCAGGCGGGGATGGGGGTCTGCGAGGGGAAGCAGGATCGAGGAAGGAAGGCCAGCTCCCCAGGGTTGAGAGGGAACAGGATGAAGGACGGGAGATGAGGAGTTGGGAGCAGAGAGGGTGAGGCTGGGGGCGGGGGAGGCAGAGAGGCCGGGCTGAGGATGAATGGGAGTGGGAGCTGCCCAGGTTTGGGGGTGAGGAGCCGCACGAACCCACCTCACACGTGTCCCGGGAGCCATCTCTCCCTTCTCGGCAGCTCCCGGCGGGTCGGCGGCCATCGGCGGCGGGGGGGCCGGGCGGCGCGGGGCGCGGAACGCTCAGAACGCCGGGGTCCACGGCCCCCCGAGGGCGCTCGGCCCCTCCCTCCGGCGGAGGCCGGGACGGCGGCGAGTGGAGATGGGGGGCGCCGGGGGCGAGGCCCTCCCACGGGCTGCGGCGCGGCCCTTCCAGGGGGAGGTCCTGCTCTGGGGGGCTCAGTCCCTCAGCCCCCCCAGGCCAACGGGGGCTCCTCGGGCGCAGGGTGCTCAGCTTCTGCCCGGGCCCCACTCAGTCCGGGGTCCGAGTCTCAGCTCCCCTCCCCCTTCTCTCCCCCGCGCCCCCGACCCTTTAACTGGCCCCTTCCCGGCCCCCACTGCCCAGGGGTCTAGGGCCCGGCCTGGGCCCCCCCCACCGTTTCCGGGGTTCAAGCCCCGCCCACCACCGGTTCCCGGGGAGGGGGGGGTCCCTGTAACCTGCCCCCCTCCCCTGGGTCCTCCCCTAGACTGCGGCCCCTGCGCTACCACTGTCGGGCGAGCCGAGGGGGGTGAAGGAAGCGGCTCCGGCCCCGCCCCCCCAGCCTGCGCACGCCCCCGCCCTTTCCCCCTCCCCCAGCGCGCGACCCTCCAGAGAGAGGGATTTAAATAAAATTTGAATAAATCCCCTTCCTCAAGCAGAAGGTTGGAAGGAAAGGATGGAAGGAGGTAGGGAAAGGGGGAGGGGACAATCGGGGTGCCTCAGCCCCCTTGGTCCCCCGGCCCCGCGCAGCTTCGGCCCGGGGCCCTGGCCGCCTCTCTCATCCCTCCAGAGCTCCTTCCTCCTTCCTCCTCTCTTCCCCCTCCCGTCCCTCCTCCTTCCCTCCTCCTCCTCCTTACTCCCTCCTTCTCCCAGAGGAACCCCGCCCCCTGCCTCCTCCTGCCCTCACCGCTCCACTTGCCAGGACGAGCACGCGCAGGGGACGACGGGAGTCGTAGTCCTGCGGACCTGGTGCTACCGTGGGAACAATGGGGCGCTGGGGCTAAAGGGACTACAAATAAGATGGCGGAGGGCGTGCCAAACTGAGCGCTGAGGATGCCGGGAGTTATAGTCCGGTTGCCCGGAGGCTCCCCGTTGCAGAGCATACAGATGGAGGGGGAACGATGACTACAAACAAGATGGCCTTCTTCCCCGACCCGACCTCCTTCCCAGGCACTCACACGCCCTCCGGTCCACAACCCTCCGCGTGTGTGGTACCTGACGGGAGTCGCAGTCCGTCTGCTGCCTTCCCGCTGCCATTTCTACTTCTCAGGAACAATGGAAAGGTGAAAAGGAACGAGGACTACAAACAAGATGGCTGCAGAGGGGCGTACAACCTGACTAGTAGCCGATCTCATGAGGTGCGATGGGAACAGTAGTTTTTCTAGGTTGCTAGTGTTCCTTAAGAATGACGACACTGGGGGGTTAAGGAGACTACCATAAAGATGGCAGGTTACCTAGCCTCTTCCCGTCGCCTCACTCTACCACCTTGAGCACCTCGCCCGCCTGTAATATCGGAATCCCCCTCCCGGTGGCGCAGAGCCTGGTGGGAGTTGCAGTCTTCCCGTCTCTTCTATTATCTCTGGTCGAGACAATGGAAATAAAAAGGGGCGGGGACTGTCTGCAGAAATGGGGGCCGAAGGGAAGGGGAGACGACGACCTGGGATTTGTAGTCCACGCCCTAAGGCTACTCCCTGCGAAAACCGGGGAAAGGACTACAGGAAAGATGGCGGCTCACCGCGCTCCCTTTGTGGCAAGGCCTGCTGGGGGATGTAGTCCTGTGGCTTCTACAGAGAAAGGACGGGGGCTGCAGGAAAGTGCATTAGCGCACTCAAGCCGAACTGCGAGCGAACGCGAACCTGGGGTTGTCCTCTCCCTGTACCCCCTTCTCGGTGCTCTGCCGGGAAATGGAGTCCCAAGCCTCCCCTCGTTAGTGGGGGTGGGGGGCGGGTTTATGTCACTAGTAGGATCAGTGCCGGCGAGGGAGGAAGAAGGATGGGCAATCCAAGAACATGTCATGTCCGCCTCCCAGTGTGGCGAGCACTTAGTATTTCTGGGGCGGCTCTTAAAGGAAAGCACATTAGTATTGTCGCGACAAGGGGGGTGGTTCAGGCCGAAAGCACCGTCATGCTGCTTGTACACCTCATATCCGATGCTTGTTTCCCCATCCACAGGGAATCGGTATCTTTCAAGTCGTGAGGGTTCCAAGGAGAAGGCTCTGAGGTCATGCAAAACCCCCGCCCCGCCTTCGGAAGTCACCAACTCTCAGTTCTCACATCTGAAAAATGGGGATAATGCTACCCACCTCCAAGCAGAGTTAGGAGAATAAAGACAATGGTCACGAGAGTTCCCAGCTCAGGGCCCGCCATGGGGCACGTGGTGGTGGTCCCTGTTTCAAGCTCCGTCTTAACCCAGTTGTTCTGGGCTCCCGGGAGTCCATCATGCTGGAAGTGCGCTCCTGGCGGGCAGGCTATCTATCCCCAGTTGAACCTCCTCTCCCCGCACCCCGCTCGGTCTGGTCCTCCAGCGTCCACTACCGAGCACTGCTCCTAGGGGGCGCCCATTCTCCACTTGACCGAGGTGCTACTTCAGTCTGAGGTTGTCGGCGCTGCCTACTGCCCAGCCTCCTCTCCTCTCCTGCCAGCTTTGGAGGGATCCTCCTAACCTCAGCTGCCAAAGCAAACGGAACTGCTTTCCACCTCCCTGCCTTCTTTCCTGCCTTTTCTACCTGGGAAAGGGTCCTGCGAAAGACTCGATGGGTCTGGCGCTGGCCAGTAAGGTGTGAGACACTAAGTTTGCAGGGGCTGAACTGAGAGGCTCCTCCTAGCTCACATTTATCAGTCAGGAAATCATGCTGTCGAACGATTGTCCCTGTGTCTTCATTGTTTTAGCGTCGGCTTGCACGATTACTTCAGAAAAGCTTGGGAACGGTTCCCTCTGCCTGTTAGGCCTTTCCCCTCCTCCCGTTCCACTCCTCCACCCAACTAATTACTCACCCTCAGGTCTCGGTTTAAATGCCACTGTCCCAACGAAGCTTCCTGTAATTCCCATTTGAGATTCTCTTATTGACTCTTCTGCTGGATTATAAGTTTCATGAGTTAAGTGCTTCCAGCATTTCATTTGATCCTCATAAGAATGCTGTGAGGTAGAATTCCATTTTGTAGATGAGAAAACTTGGGCTGAGACTGGATGATTGTAGTCAGGATTCAAACCCAAGACTCCAGAGTCCGTCTTCATAACTACTGGAACACCCGCAAACTGATCAAATCCAACCCATGTGCATGTTTGGTTTGGCACAACAACAACCAATTCTCATGCAAAAATGGATTTTTAATTTTAAATCCTGAAGTCTAGCAACTGGGTGGGTAGGGGGAATGGCAGGGTTAGAGTGCGTACAAAAATATAAGAAATGCCCTGGCTGGTTTGGCTCAGAGGATAGAGAGTTGGCCTGCGGGCTGGAGGATCCCGGGTTGGATTCCAGTCAAGGCACATGCGGGCTTGATCTCCAGTGGGGGGCGTGCAGGAGGCAGCCGATCGATGGTTCTCTCTCATCATTGATGTCTCTATCTCCCTCTCCCTCTCTGAAATCAATAAAAATATATTTTTAAAAAAGATATAAGAAAACTTTTACTTTTCACTTTATAACCTCCTCTACAGTTTGAGATCTTTACCATATGCAGATATTATTTATATGCTGAAAACATGAGCTGAAAATTACTATAATCTAGCCATGTTGACATTCAAATATAAAGATGATAGGGAAATAGGGGGTTGGGTGAAAAAGGTCAAGGGATTAAGAAGTACAAGGGGTCACCGTTCTATTCCTGGACAGGCATATGCCTGGGTTGAGGGCTGTGGGGCATGCAGGAAGCAGCTGATCAATGATTCTCCCATCATTAATGTTTCTCTCTCTCCCTCTCCCTTCCCCTCTGAAATCAATAAAAATATATTTTTAAAAATTTAAAAGACCATATTCAGACCTCCTCAGACGTAAGTGAGCTCAGGAAATACAGCACCCATGAGCCCCTTTACTTTTGTACAAAAAATGATGTTTGATCCTGACCAGTTGCTCAGTGGTTAGAGCATCGGCCTGAGGACTGAAGGGTTGAGGGTTCAGTTTCCCATCAAGAGCACGTAACTGGGTTGCAGGTGTCCCAGCCCCCCCTGTAGGGGTGCATGCGGGAGGCAACCAATCAATGTGTCTCTCTCACATAGTTTTTTCTCTGTCTGTCTCCCCACCGCCCCCCTTCCATTCTTTCTAGAAATCAAAGGAAAAAATATCTTCAGGTGAGGATTAACAACAAAAAAATGATGTTTGTTTTCTGTCAACCTTTTCAATGCATTTCGTTTAAGAATCTTTGGAAGGATGGCTGACTGGTTAGGGTGGCTTCCCATGCGAGGCCTGGGCTGTGGTGCTGCAGGCCTGCTTCAGCCGCAGGCTGGCCCCTTCAGGCTCTGGTGAGGAGCTGCTGGAAGGTATGGAGGGCACTTGCCTGCTCTCCGACCTGTCCGCAACCTTGGAATGAGCACAGCACACCGAATTCAGGAGCTGGAGCAGCCCACTAATCCTGTGGTTCCTTTAACAGTGGCTGCTCGTCCTTCTCAGTCCCTTCTGGGTCTTTGTAGAAGTTCGTAGCTTCTGTGTCAGCAGGGTAGGCGAGGCTCTCCTGCAGCAACAAATAACAAGCACGTTGTAGGTGCCTTGTGACAGCCAAGGTCTGCCGCTTGCTCTAGCCGCACGTCTCCTGCTGGTCAGTGGAAGGCGGTGTGCTCCTCAGGGAGTGCGGCGGAGGGAAGAAGCTCAGTATGAGCTGCTGTGATCGCCATCCAATCACACAAGAATGGGGAAGGAGGGCTTGGTGAAATGCTCACTGGTTTTTTAGCTTCTTCCCAGAAGAGACACATGACAGTTCTGCTCACATTGTATTGATGGGAATGTAAAATGGTGCAGATACTATGGAAGGCAGTATGGTGGGTCCGCAATAACTTAAACATCAATGTAATGTTTAATTAGTTAATTAATCAAACACCTAAAGGAGGCAGAAAACAGAACTCTTCACACGCCTGGAAAAAGAACTGGAATATTTGTGAGCAGCCCTAATGACAAGCACAGCTTCCTGTGGGCCCCGGGGGAAGTTAGTCCCACCGTGTAGAGGATTTTCCGGGCAGGCACCCACTACAAGACACTGAGTGGATTCTTTCGTTGTCACATGATACGGCAATATGCACATAAAGTGAACTGAAAACGCCACTGTGAGGGGGTGATGGGCAGCCCTGAGATCACAATCACAAAGAGCAAAGCTCCCCAAAAGCTGTGTGGATCTCAGTGTAAGACCCCAGAGATGAACTGCTCAGCAGTGGGCGTGGCTTCAGGTGGCTGCAGAACCCTTCACGGGGCTCTTTGGCCAGTGTTCCTGGAGGAGCTGAGGTCAACAGTAGCTGAGTTTCTACTGGTCATCCACGTTGAATGTCTCCCTGAGGCGCTTCAAATTGGTCACGTAGATAATATCACATTTCTTTTTGCAGATGGAATCCTTCATTTGGGAACCACGATTGATGCTCTGAGTGGGTTCCTGCAGCAAAGGCTCGGGACATCGTAAAAGTTTCCCTTTTCTAAGATGGGAAAGTATATATAAACTAGAGGCCCAGTGCCAGGCGGCCGGGGCCTTCCTTCGTTCCACGCCGCCCCCTGGTGGTTAGCCCACATCATAGCGAGCAAACAAACTCCCGGTCTGTCGAACTGCCAAGGGGACACTTTGCATATTAGATATATATATATATATGAGGCCCAGTGCACAAAAATTTGTGCACTCGGGGCAGGGGTCCCTCAGCCCAGTCTGTGCCCTCTCGCAGTCTGGGACCCCTCAGAGGATGTCCACCTGCTGGCTTAGGCCCGCTCCCCGGGGGATTGGGCCTAAGCTGGCAATCAGACATCCCTCTGGCAGCCCAGCAGCCCTCGGGGGATGTCCACTTGCCAGCGGGGAGCAGGCCTAAGCTGCAGTCAGACATCCTTAGCCTTGCTGAGGAGGCAGGAGAGGCTCCCACCACCACCACTGTACAGGCAGCCATCAGCCTGCCTTGTGGCTGAGCAGAGCTCCCCCTGTGGGAGTGCACTGACCACCAGGGGGCAGCTCCTGTATTGAGCGTCTGCTCCCTGGTGGTCAGTATGTGTCATAGTGACCAGTCTTTCTGCTGTTAGGGTCAGTTTGCATATTACCCTTTTATTATATAGGATAGAGGCCTGGTGCACGGGTGGGGGCCAGCTGGTTTGCCCTAAAGGGTGTCCCGGATCAGGGTGGGGTTCCCCACCAGGGTGCCTGGCCAGCCTGGGTGAGGGGCTGATGGCTGTTTTCAGGCTGGCCACATCCCCTTTAGGGTGGGGGGTCTCCACTGGATTGCCTGGCCAGCCTGAGTGAGGGGCTGAGGGCCGTTTTCAGGCTGGCCAAGCCCCCCGGTGACGGAAGCTCCCAGCCTCTCCTTTTTTTTTGTTTTTAATTCTGGGATTTATTTACTTCTATAATTGAAATTTTGTTGCCTTCAGTGGAGCTCAGAGCCGGCCAGGGCGGGCCAGAAGCTTGGCTTCCTCCATCACTGGAGCAACCAAGCCTCCTGCTCGCTACAGCTCTGTGGCCATGGCCGGCTGAAAGCAGGTATCTGGGGTTTATTTATCTTCTATAATTGAAACTTTATTGCCTTCAGTGGAGCTCAGAGCCTGCTCGGCAGGCGGGAAGCTTGGCTTCCTCCATCACAGGGGCAACCAAGCCTCCTGCTCACTCCAGCTCCGTGGCTGCCAGCCGCCATCTTGGTTGGGTTAATTTGCATATAATTGCTCTGATTGGCTGGTGGGCATGGCTTAAGGCATAGTGAAGGTATGGTCAATTTGCATGTTTGTCTTGTATTAGATTATACACACACACACACACACACACACACACACACATTTTGCCATAAGTAAAACTTAAAAATTTTTTTTAAAAAATACATTTTATTGATTTTTTACAGAGAGGAAGGGAGAGGGATAGAGAGTTAGAAACATTGATGAGAGAGAAACATCGATCAGCTGTGTCCTGCATACCCTCCACTGGGGATGTGCCTGCAACCAAGGTACATGCCCTTGACTGGAATTGAACCCAGGACCCTTGAGTCCGCAGTCCGACGCTCTATCCACTGAGCCAAACCAGTCAGGGCTTAAATTTTTTTTTTAATATATATTTTATTGATTTCAGAGAGGAAGGGGGAGGGAGAGGAGAGAAACATCAATGATGAGAGAGATAAAAAAAAAATGAGAGAGAATCATCGATCAGCTGCATCCTGCAAGCCCCCTGCTGGGGATCGAGCCAGTAACCCTGGCATGTGCCCTTGACCAGAATCA